TGTCAGTTTATGCACAGACAGTTTGCTATCCCCGTATTTTGATCTTTCATTGCTGTTTTTCTGTTGCTGCTGTCTCTGGTTTTCTGTTAGATGCAGAATTGGTTCTTCCTACAATCCGCAGTGCTGTGGAGAAGCAGCTCAACTTAATAGCTCTGGGTAAAGCAAATTATCATCAGGTCCTGGAGCACACCCTTGACATTTTCAAAAGGAAATTCCACTATTTTGTGGATTCTATTGCAGGTAAAACTTTACCTACAATTACTTAATCGTTGCAAAGATGCTAGTACAAAATACATATATATCAGGTTGCTTTCAGAGGTTTAGGCTTACTGAAAAGTTCTATCAGAACTGGAAGTTTCCAGTTAAATTAAGTGGCTCTCCAAAAGGAAATGGACTGAATTATGGCTTACAAACTCTACTTCAGATTTATTTTGTGTAGTTTTGAGTTGTTGAAAACTTCAGACTAGCTGAAATAATTAACCTTGTGTGTTTGTGCATGCTCAGTGCAAAACACTGTGTATTTAAAAGTCTTTGTAAACAAGGGAAAGCATTGTGAATAAAATATTCTCACTTCACAGGTTTTGTAGGTGATTTTTGTGCAAGGTTTCCTCATAAGAACTAGAATTCTAATGTAAGTGTGATTCTCTCTTTCACAGGTATGGATGAACTGATGGAAGTGTCTTTTTCACCATTAGCTGCCACTGGTAAACCACTTTCCCGCTGTGGTAAATGCCATCGCTTCATGAAGTATATTCAGGTAACTTCACCTCATGCTTGGAGTTTATATTTCACTTGCCAGGGGCATTGAATAGAAACCCCTTTTCTAGTATTGAATTTGGATTCAAATGTGGTTGTCAAGAGGGCATTTCTAAAATGAAAAACCCAGTGGAACTTTTCCATGGGGAACAAAGCAGTGAGCAGCCCCACTGGGATTTACTGGAAGTTTTGAACCTTATTGACATTACAGTTGTTCAGGGGACTTCTATTTCCAGGCCAAGCCAAGTCGTCTGCACTGCTCCCACTGTGATGACACCTACAGTCTTCCACAGAATGGTACCATTAAACTCTACAAAGAGTTGCGTTGCCCACTAGATGACTTTGAGCTGGTGCTGTGGTCGTCTGGATCCAGAGGAAAGAGCTACCCACTGTGTCCATACTGTTACAACCATCCTCCCTTCAGGGACATGAAAAAAGGTAGGAATTCTGTAAATATGCAGGGAATGACCTCACTTGAAATAGATTAGATGCAGTCTATACAGTAGTTTTTATTCAGTGTTACTTAGTATAAAGCGCTGTTCAAATTAGGTTGCAGATACCTAAAACTCACCTCAAACTTACTGACCAAAATTTATTAGTTATCTCACTTCTGAATACTTTTTTTTTCTCTTTATAAAAGGAGTAAGAAATTAATTTATGTGCATGCACAGGAGGTGACCTTTGTAACACTTGGTTTGCAGTGAAAGACACTGGGATTCTGATACTTTGCAAATTGGAGTATGCTTGCTATGGATAGAGCTGTAGATTAGGACCAGGTCTTGAGAGTGTTTTGATACTGAGGTAGATGGTGTGTCAAAAGCTGTTGAAGGATATAAGAGGGGGTGAAAGTTGCAGTTTGGTAACTGAGACCAGTTTCTAAAGTTGCAGTTTGGTAACTTACTTAACATAGTCTTTGAAGCTGAGAACCAGGAGCTTTATGGCATTTTTTTTATTACCATTTTTCTTAATTAAAAATGTCTTGTACTAACAGTGTATGGGCAAGTATAAAATAGCAGCTAGGAGCCATACATTTCAATTGAAAACATAGTTTTCATCACTAATGTGTCCAAACTGCCTGTACAGTGGCAGTATTTGGCAATTTTGAAAGCAATAACAGAAGAAATTTTGAGCAAGGGAATATTCTGAATCTGTGAAAAGGCAAGTTGGCATTTGGGGAGTCGTTCCATTCTTTAGTGATTTAGAAAACCTGTAGTATACTAAGCTGTCTCTGACTTCTGTGTCTCACTTCCTCCAAACTGGGTCCTGTGGGTAGTGATATAAAGGCTTCCTGGTGGTATGGTTTTACTCTTCTTCCACCAGGAATGGGCTGTAATGAATGCACGCACCCCACGTGCCAGCATTCTCTTAGCATGCTTGGAATTGGGCAGTGCGTTGAATGTGAGAATGGGGTTCTGGTGCTGGACTCAACGTCAGGTCCCAAGTGGAAGATGGCCTGCAACAAATGCAATGTGATTGTGCACTTCTTTGAGAATGCCCACAAGGTCCGAGTGTCACCGGAGACCTGCGACTTGTGCGATGCAGCCCTTGTGGATGTTGATTTTAACAAAGCCAAATCTCCTTTACCTGGGGGTGAGACCCAGCATTCAGGCTGTGTGTTCTGTGATCCCGTGTTTCAAGATCTGGTGGAGCTGAAGCATGCAGCCATGAGGCACCCCATGCACCGTGGGGGACAAGGAAAAAGGCAAGGCCGAGGAAGAGGTAAAGGCCGGAGGCCTGGAGGAAGACTCAATCCAAAGAAACCCAAGGACAAAATGGCAGCTCTGGCTGCTTACTTTGTATAATGGGCACACAACAGAAAAATAAACTTCTTATAAAAATTTGTTTCCCTTTAAGTTCATTTTAAAGTGTTTTTGATCTTCACTGCTTTTGTGTTCTTAGAAAAGTTAAACACCTTATGTTGTTGTATGCCTTGACTTAATCACAAAACAGATTCTTCTGGATGATCAGTTTATAACTGAGTAAGCCTTTAAGCTTTTAATTGGAATTCATTGGTCCAAGTAGAGCTCACAAACAATAGGGAAGCTAGACTGTTACCTGTGGTTGACAGAAAGAAAACGAAATTTTCCATCATTTCTGAGGCTTTTGTCAACGGTTCAAGTGCCAGCAATATAAGAAGTGATTAAAATCACTGCTACACTGCTGTAGTCTTCAGGTATGGAATGAGTCCTGTTTCATTTGACTTTGAATCTTCAAAAATGATAAAAGATTAGTAGCTGTCAGATTTTTAAATCACATCTGCAGTAGCAAGAGCACCATTTCAGACCTGTCCCTCTGCTGCATAAGAGAGTCATGCCAAGAGACATACTCACATTTATGCCTTCCATTTTGTATCTGCCTTGAGCAGTGATTCCCAAGTTATGGTCTGTGCAGCCAAATTAGTATCTTTTGGTCAGCAGGCCTCTGTTAAGTAAGGCCTCCCTCGGCAGCTGGAGGACAGGTAGAGTACCCATGCTCTTCTTTTCCTGTGTTCACACAGCTGATCATACCTGATCAAATAGTTTGTACACTCTGTATCCCGAACTCATTTTGGTGATGGTGTCCTCTTGTTTTTGTATGGAGCTGTATCTAACCACTGTGGCACTGGGTCCCACATTACAAACTCTTAACTGTATGGATCTATAATACTCTCTCCTTTCCTTCCATGTGCACATAGCTGATCTTGTCTGGTCGTCTGGTCAAGTACAGTTTGTATCATCTACAGCACTAGTTGTGATTGGATGGGGGGATGCCACAGCAGTTTTACAAGGTGCAAAGGCTACTGCATGTGAAGGCAGAATATGCAGAGAGCAACTCTGACACGTGATTCACTGGCAACAGAGAGGAAAGACAAGTCCCTACAAAAGGTAATGTACAGCTCTGCTGTTTTAATTGGCACGGTGTTTGCATTTGCTGAACACAGATGAAACACCACAGCCCCAAGCTTGTTCCTCTGATCAAATGTTTATACAGTTACAGCTCAAACATGAGCTGTGTTGTAATAGTATTGCTTAAAAGACCCAGCCATAGGCAGAGGTTGGTTTGGATTTGTTTCCTAAATACTGTGTTCTTTCTGCATCTCCCTTAGCCTGAGTAGCTTCTTCTCATGTTCTAAAGGTCCGTCTTGCTCTAGTGTCCTCAGAATGTTGTAAATCATTTCACTACTTAAAAACAACTTTTGGGTTGGGGGATTGACTATGGCAGGGATGTTGCAGGATACAGGCTATTGTAATTTACCAAAGGAAAAACAGGAAAGAGGTGGGATATGAACCTTCTTAACTTTAATGGCTTAGAAACACAGCTTGGTGTGAGGCAAGAAGGAAGGGATTTAGTTGATACGCTGTAAATACCCAAAAGATCTAGGAGTGAGGTGAGTGCACGTATTCTGAATGCCTGTGTCCTACTAACCTCACTGCAGGGTTTGGTATTGTGTTCTTTTTGTGTGTCTAGGGTTCAGGATTTTCATTCAATCTTTCTTTGGAAGATTCCAGAATAGGACAAAGATAATTCCATCTGATTTACTGATGCACTTCCTTTTCTATGCTACAGGTGCTCTTAAATGAGCAAGGAAAGGTTATAGCTTATTGATGGACATGGTTATTTGACAAACCGGTCAGCCTCCTATATGGTTCTCTCCAAACTCACTATACTTTTAGTTAATCTATGGAAGTGATGGTGTCTTGCGTTTATGCCTGTGATAAGGCTTTGAAAGCTAGCACAGGTTTTTTGCAGTGACTTACATACAGCACAACCCTGCCACGGCTACCTCGGGTCTTCTGAAGCCTTTTTTAATGGGCATTTTGGTGTGGATGGAAGCAAAAAGGGATTGTGAGTAACAAGACTTGGGGGGGGGGATTGTCTCTTGGGTGAACCCCTAACCTGTGCGCACTTCCAGCCGCACCTGGCCTGTCAGAGCGTGTAAACAGAACCCGCTGTGGAGTCAGTTGGGCTTTAGGATGAAAACCGGTCATCCGGGTGAGTGCTGAGCACGAGAGCGCTCGGTGGAAAGGCGCCCCCGGTCAGCACGGGTGTGTGCCGAGCGCTGCGATTTCGGCCCTGCGGGAGGGAGGGGAAGGAGCGGGACAAGGGCTGCCCGCGGGCGGGCGCTGCCCCCAGTCCCGTCCCCGCTCCCGCCCCGCCTTCCGGCCACGTGGTCGCCCCGCCCCCGCATTCCAGGCATTGTTTCTGGCCCCGCCTCCCCCGCCTGGCCCCGCCCCTGCGCTCCGCTTAAAGGAGCCGTCACCGCGCCCTGTCCCCGTCGCGTTCCCCTCCCTGGCCGGCCCCCTCGCGCCGCCCGTCCCCGCCGGCGCCTGTCCCGCTCCCGGCGGTGGCGGCCGGGGAGGGCGCCTCAGCGCGGCGCCGTCATGGCGCTGGAGGTGGAGGCGACCGGGGCTCCCCTGAGCTCTTTCCTGAAAGACTTCCCGTCTCCGCTGGGCCCGGGGGAGCCGCTGCCGTGGAGCTCGGCGGGGAGCGGCGCCCTCAGCAAGGCCGAGGTGCCGGGCGCCCTGGCCGAGCGGGCGAGGAGCCTCCTGGGCGGCAGGTGAGAGCCCGGCGGTGCGGGCGCTGACACTTGGCGGGGCCGCTGAGGGGAGCGGGGTAGCTGAGGGGAGCGGGCCGGGCCCGCGGGCGCTGTGCGGGGCTGGAGCAGGTGCAGGCGGCGGGAGGTGCCTCCTCCTGAGGAGACGTCCCAGCGCCGCCGGGCCCGCGGGCCTCGCCGTGCCTGGGCTGCCCGGGGAGCGGTGCTCCACGTCTCCCAGGGAATTCTGGCTTTTTTCATTGTTATTATTATTTATTTCCCCTTTCTTAGTTGTTTTTTGTGGATACTCTCCTTAAAGCTGGGCTTTTAATAGCGCGTTTCTGCCACAGGCCTCCTGTCGAGCTCTGTGCTTTTATAGTAATGTTTGTGTGCTCTCGAAAACATTTCTCTCTCGCTCTTGGTGCACGAGAGATTAAATTACAATCCTGTAATTAGCGTGATAGGGCGATTCGTGTGGTAAAGTGCCAATAGTTTGAATTCAGGTCCCTAAGGGCATCTGTGTGGGTCTACTTAAAAGCCTGGGGAGGGAGGCAGTCAGTGAGCTGCAACCTGCCTTGCAGGGCTGTCAGGCGTAAGAAGCGAGCCAGCCAGAAAAGGATTTGGCTTCCCGGCCCTCTTGAGTTGTCCTGGTGAGCAGGACGTGCCTGCGTGGGTTTCTGAAGTGGATGTTTTCTCCAAACTTCAAGAGCGTAGTCACAACACACCACTGGAAAACACAGCTCTTCTCTCAGTGGTGTTTCTGTCATCCTCTGATCTTGGCAGAGAGATCTACATCCTGACCTGTTTAGACTTCTCTCTAAGACTGCTAAGAATTGGGATGTGACTTACTGCTTGTGGCAAGTTAGTGCTTCACAAGAACAAGTTGTCTTGCTCTAATCCCGTGTCTCCTGACACTGCCTCTGCTTCCTGAAGCACTTGGGCTGTATGGCCTGGGAGTTCTGGGGCTTACAAAGTTCCTACCACAACCTGCTTCATTAATGTGTGTGTTAGGAGTCAAGAGCAGGGACTGCAGATGGTCTAAAAGAATCCAAGTGGAGAGCTGACTTTGTGCTGTTGTGCTGGGGGTAACTAGTGAAGACGGAGTTAAGGGACACTGGTTCTGTTTAGGTATGTGCTGAATGTTACCCCCTTACTAGAGGAATTTGATAAAAAGCTGGAAAACTGATTTGAATGACACCTCTCTCTAGCTACTGTCTGGTGAGTTTATGAACACTGAATAGATTTTTGGTGTTGTTATCGTTGAAAGGGTATGGGTGATTACAAATTAAATTGCCTTAATTAAGTTGCCTTTAAAAAATCAACTTAGTTCTGTGCTTTGTGTTACAGAGATGCTCCCGGGCATAACATCATTCACTTAAATGGTGTGCCTAAACTTAAAGATGAGAAATGCATGCAAAAAAAAAAAAAAAAAGAGTTTTTTCGGCTGTAGTTGAAAAAGACCCGGTTGATCATTGCATTACTTAGTTGTGCTTTGGCTAAATTGCTCTTGAACAAAACACAGCTGTTGCATTGCGTGCACTGAATCTTTGAACTCTGTGGGGCAACAGTGGTTCTGCATGAGCGCTTGAAAGAACAGAGCAATGCCAATCTTGAACAAATACTTCTCTAATCTGCCATGTGGGTCAGGCTGAGGTTTTCTAAGGTATGAAGCTGGAGAGATGTGGGATCAGTTCTTCAAACTGTAGTGATTTCTAAAACAGTAATTTGAATTACTGTATCTGCTAACATGCTGTTGTTCTTTAGTGGGCGTATTAACAAGTGGAAACAGAAAGAGTGCTGCTTTTGCAATGCCTTCATCTCACCTGTCACTTGTGGTGTTTACACGGAAAGGAGCCTGCCCTGTCAGAAGCTGCATTTCTCACATACCTGCCCTGCAGCTAGTGCTGATTAGACAGCTTGATTTGTGGAGCTTCTGTAGTCTGAGCTGGCACAAAAGAAGAAAAAAAGGAATATAAAGGAAGGGAAAGAGAGCTGAAGAAAATAAAGCAGAATAGAAGTGCAGCAGTCTAGTTGTTTGTCCTTATTTCCACAAAATATACTTGGAAAACAGGACTACATAAGGAAAGTGTTTTCGTGAATTCTTTTGGCTGCCTGCAGGCAAAACAGTGAAGCAACTCTGTGTGTGAAGCTGGGTGCTTGGACACAGTGGAGCATAACTGAAATGTCAAGCGTAGGGATCCCAGCAGACTTACAGCTCAGTTTTAGACTCCTGTGAGAAAGAGAAGCCTCATTTTGCAATTGCAAAAAGGCTGTGGGTTCCTGTTGGGAGGCGAAGTTCTTGCATGTGGAGCCCAAGGCCAGGCCAAGAATCTAGTTATTTCAGAAATGCAGGCCACCTTTTCATAATCCATGGAATTAAGAACCAAACCTGAAGTCTCTGTGTGAGGTACTGCCAAGCATTGCACTTTTGTTCCCACATTTGCTACTACAGATCAACTCCAAATGTAGCTTTGATGGTTAAATAAACTTTTCAGTTGCTCTGAATACCCCAAATCTTTGCTGAAACAGATGAGGGAATGTAAGGAGACAGGAGAAAGAAGGATGCTAAAGGTTTAGGAAAAGGAATGAGGCTTACAAGACATGTAAATGTTTGTGTAGAAATTGTTGAAGATGCAGAAGTGATGCCAGATTAAGAAACAAATTCGTGAGAGGTCACTGAAGCTTAGATCTAGCGATCTGCTGTTGCAGGCTATCATGGTAGCCTCCCTGGCACACAGATGGTAGCTCAGTGGAAAATATGCACATGCAAATATCACAGTGCCCATATAACCCGGTTTAACATTTTGGAGATGTTATCAGGGGTACTTCGCTGGCTTCTAGCATTGATCCTTGTTCTGTATTTCCTTAGTTGGGGACTTCTCTAACACTCCAGCATCACAGAATGTATTTTATGATGATTAGTAATGAAGAAGGATTTCTTGATAGATCAGTGTTATTTGGAGTCAAGCTTGGCACATGGTTCTGCTTCTTATTTCTATCTTGTGAGATACTTCATTCACATTCACACAGATGTGTGGGTCATGTCTTGAAGGGCCGAAGCTGATAAAAGCCCAATGATATCCTTGGCTTGGCCAAAATACAGTGATGTTTAGCTTGTTCTTCCACTTACTTGGAGGCGTGCATCTTTGTCTTTGCAAGGAGAAACATTCTTCCTCCACCACCAATCAGGACTGCTGTTGCAAAGATAAATGGGGCAAGGAGTAACACATGTTATGTCCAACAGGGAGCTTCTGAATGCTATTGCTTTTCTAAGGCTGTATACCTCTCTTACATGGAAGCAGTTGGCTGTTCCAGGCTAACCCCCTTGAATGTCTTTACGCATCTAAAATGAATGATTTTGCCCATTTTCTGCAAATGCAGCTGGGATAGCTGAGCACTAGCTAAGGGACCCAACCACTTCTGCTTCCTGGCAGGACTTGTGCTTAAATCGCTAATCTGGTGAAGCTTTGCAGATGTTTCTACTTTGAATAATTCATTCAAATCAATGGAACCGCCTTTATGAAACTAAATATGTACATAAAACTCTGAAGAATTGGGGCAGGCTTAAGTAATCTTGTTTTGCAGAATTTTAGTTAACATACCCTTTTAGGTATGAGCTGTGTGTTCTGGCCATCTGTGAAATGGGTCAGTGTGGATGCAGAGTCCATTTAATTACTTCCAGAGCTTTAAAAATTAATGTGAAAATTTGTGAACTTGCACTGAAACAGACCACGAGATGACATCAGACCCCCAAATACAGAAATGTCTCCTTTTCCTTGATAAGAGCAGAAACTTGTATGACCATCCTGTGACACAGTCAAAGAACAATGTGAAATTCCAGCAGCCTTCCTGTTTGAGGAGACTTTACTGCAATAACAGTTGTGAGACTCCAGCTTCCTGTTCTGCCCCGTCCCAAACGATTCACTGTGTTTCATCTCTTGGTTGCCTCAGCATCCTGTTTTGTGTCTTTGTGTTTTACACTCTAATGCTTTCACCTAAGGTGTGGCCCCAGCGTCTTTATTTTCAGCATTTCCCTGCTTTTAGAATGGTTAATTCAGCAATTCTGATACTTTGATGGCTTTATGTGATGTAAGCAGGAAGACGGGGAAAAAAGTAATCTCATTTTGCATCTAGTTTACCTAATCTCTTCTTAAAAGTCTCTTTAGTCCCTTCCTCTGTGAAAACTACTAATACCCTGGCTACTGTAACCTCTGCTTTTAATAAATCCCCTAAAATTTACTTCCTTATTCCAAATTTGTACCATTCAGTCTATGTTATTTTAATGCAGTAATGCTTCTCATTGCTAAGAGCACATTTGTGGTATCAGCCATCCATTCATTTCAGACAAGAAAGTGAATTTCATGTGTGATTGCCTGTAAACTAACTTTCTAGTTTTCAGGGGACCAGTTGTGCTTGGTGTTGAACGCAAGCATAGGATTAGCAGGAGCAGCCTGCTCTTTCAGCAACACCAGTGTTCTCACTGGTTTGTGGTTAATAATGTTAGAGTTGGAAGCCTTGAGAAAGTTAATGCACAAGAGGAATGTGGTACTTCTGCTGTTAACTAGTTAATTTAGCAAATGGTTAACAAAGTGGCTCTGGTGTTTTTGGATGATGGTCAGAACCAGCTTGTTTTGTCATGTGTGGTTTGTCCGCTGATGGCTCTGAAGCTGATGGCAGAGCAACGCACAGAGAGAAATGCTGTGCAGCTCACACTGAACATGTGTCTGGGTAACTGTTTTGGGCAGTTCAGAATTGCCTCTAACAGTATTTACAGGCTGGACAAACAGTTAATTTTGAGATCAGTAAACTGCTTTTTAGAATACATTTCTTTATTTAAAGCTCCCAGGGAGTTTCTCCTGCTACAAGATACTTTTAGTATTTTGGGAAATAATCACTTTGCCTTTAAAAAGGAAGTGTATGTATGGGGACACCTGCAGTGCAAGAGAGAAAAAATTGATGAAATGCTGAAAAAAAAGGCAAATGTATAATGATGAGGAAGCTTCTAGGGCTGACTCGGTGCTGTT